CACACACACACACACACACACACACACACACACACAGGACTTTGCATTTATCAAATCATAAAATTTCATAACGTACCTAAAATATCAAATACACTTTAAGTGGGAGTAGAAATTGCATATATATATTTTACATGGGCCAAAATATGTCTTAAACAACAGTCTTTAACAGCCCTTTTGAGTTGAATTCATTTTACTTTCACTGTGTTATCTTTGTTTTCCAGTCTACTCCATATGCATTATTTCAGTTAAATGTATAGTCCTACTGATTATACCGTCTTACATGATTATTAAAAACACACTTTTCAAAATTTTAGATACGTCAAGTGATTATTTTGCTTTTTCACTGGGTTTCAACACTACTGCCAACTATCATGAGTTTGAACGTTACTCAACTGATTAGGCCCAAGATATATTTCTGGCAGTCAATTTCATCATATCACTAGGAGCTTGTCTACAAATTATTCTCAGTGGGGGAAAAAAAAAGAAAACACAATTAAAGACTTGAGCAGTTTTATGCCCATTTTGTAGATAAAAGCCTTTTAAACTGATTTTGAATTGTTCACATTACCTGAAACAACAACCCAAATATCAGCAATTACAATTCATCCTGAGAAACAATGACTGTAATATCTGAAAATAAGTTTTTCTATCATTTAATGAAGCGATCAAAAATTATGATTTTAGATTTAAGTCATTTTGTTTGCATGGTGTGAAGGCAAAGACTTTTTATTTATCACACTACACTTTGAATTAAACCTTCAGTGAGTTTTACGCTAAAAAGAAGATATTTACTTCTCATGTTTATGTAGTTTATCTTTTACTTTTTTCTTGACTTTAAATTGTGCTCTTCCTCACTATTATTTTGTATTTTTATATACAGTACAGGAAGTGTAATTTTCACATGGTATAAATGATCCTGAAATGATCAGCAGACTTCTAAATACTCTGAAGGTCTAGATTTTAAGATAGTTAATGTATGAATAATTTATGGTAAATATGTTTTTTTGAGGAACGATGGGAAGAATAAGTGTGTCTCTTATACTATGGTATATGCTATAAAAGTGCAACATGTTTTAGTTTTCTTACACATCATACAGTAAGATGGTCAGAGCCAAGCAAAATGTCATTGGATGTAGTTATTTTTTCTTGGTTTTAAGTCTAAACTGTTTGCCAGTGCCGAATGGTACTGGTGCGAGTAGCACACCTGGGTGTTAAGTGAAGTCCCTCTCCCTCCTCATTTTATTGGTCTAATCTCCTTATCTAACACTGGTGCTGTCTGTTTTTTGTTGTTTTTTTATTGTTGTGTTTACAGTGAAGAAGCAGGATGGAGCAGCTGCCATGGAGATGCAGCCTCTAAAGAGTGCTGAAGGCGGAGAGGCTGACGAGAAAGAGAGGAAGAAAGTGTCAGCTCCGAAGAAAGAGAAGTCTGTGCTGCAAGGGAAGCTGACCAAACTGGCTGTCCAGATTGGCAAAGCAGGTACAACAAATTGCACACAGACAAGTTTATCACTCAGTCACGCAGATAGATCTGGGAAAAAAGAGGCACTAAACCATCATCCTGTCCATCAAAGTTGCACAGATAAGACTGCTTTTTATTTGTTTGAAGCAATCAAAGGAGTTTAGAAGAAACTTAAGGTATCTGAATTACAGAGCTCTGGAAGAGTGTGTTCAGTGTTTTGTTTTGTTTTTCCCCTCTGCCCTTGAGAAACTGCTGAATCATTGCACTAGTAGAAACAGAGATTTTGTCATGCAGGTCACCCAGTTTTGCAATGTTACACACAATATCATAAAATGTTGTTTCTAATATAATTTAGGGTAGGGTTTAGGCCACTGAGGAGCTGATGTGAAGCACATTTGCAGCATGTGGGTCCTTTCAAATGAAGGTAACACATCGAGAAAACAGGACCAGTGTGAATATCGTAATTTGCTTTTCTTAATCTGCCGCTTTTCTCAGAAATCTTTAACCTTTAGTGCACCAAATAATACCTGTTTTTAAAAAACTGTTTGATTTTTTCCTCAGTTTAAGTACTCCCAGACATTCGTATACCACGACAGGCCTGCTTGGGTAACAAGTGACTGCATAAATGTTTTAGTTCCAGCTTCATCAAAATAAGTGAGATTTCCCTTTACACAATCAGCTCACTATGTAAGGCCAGCCATTTTGAGTAGGGATTCAAATCTGTTACTGCCTGCAGTGCAAAGATAATCCACAAGTGGGCAGATTGTTGGGAAGTGTTAATTATGTTAATAACATACAGGCCTCGAAAGCTTGAGTGTACAAATGGTGCTTCTGTCCTTAAAAGCTGTTTAGGAAGTTAAGTAAACAGAGCTTCCAGTGTGCTCTAGTTCTTATTTCTCCTTGTAAAGAGTTGAAGGTTTTACAGCTTCAAGAAGTCCCTGTTTCTACAGTGTGCTGTTACATCAAACTGTTGGCCTGAGTGATGGAATGAGGACACTGTGTCAGAACAGTGAAATACCAAGGATGGATTAGCATACAAGCAGTGCTTGTAAGATCATGTGGCATATTGGGGAAAATATTGGAACTTCAGCATCTGTGTGTCTTAAAAAGCCACACCCGAAATGTAACTATTAGTTGTCCTCCTTTAACAAGCTGAGAAAGAATAAAGACTGCAAATAGTTGTTTTTATTAACATTTACCTTTCATAATTAGATAGTTATTGCCATTAAAACATGCCCAAAGTTTATAATAATGAGATAAGCATGTAAGCATATATAAATAGAAAATGATCCAATGCTCAATTATGTTTGCGACAAGCTGCCCCAAAACTGTGGTTTTCTTGATCAATTTATGTATATGTTCTTGCATGACAAGCACCATATAATTAGTATTATAAGCTTTTAATGTACTCCAACATACAAACAGTCAACTATGCATGGAGATATACAGTTCACAGGAATACAGTTTTACCAGCTATGATACCATCAATGTTTCTGACAGCATACATTTTCCACTTCAGTAAGCTTTTCAGTACATGCCTATTAAAAGGGGCTCATTTTGATAAAGATATATTAGATATATCAGTCATGAAAATATTATGTCAGCCCAAGCAGGCAATGAGGACAAACGGTGTACCAAATGGAGTCATCCAACTGTTTTTATTTATTTCATTAAATGTTTATGCTGACAAACAGGGCATACCACCCCTCAGTATGATTCCCAGTATTGACCAATCATAAGTAAATGTTCTTTTAGGAATGGGGGAATTAAAGAACCAGTAGCCAAGGCTAGGCTGGAGGGCTGGAGGGCTGGAGGGCTTCACAACACTTAAAAAATGTTCTCAACCCTCATAAATATGAAGCAATACGTTTGAGTAAAATGCAACTGAAATATATAAAGTTAAAGGTTTATTTATTCATATAACTGTCATAATGGAAAATTCCATTTTCATTAAGGAAAATATGTTTGGTATAACATCAGTGTTTACCAGTCAAGTTAATTTAATTTGACCAGATTTGACCAAATTAAAATTATTGTTTTACATTTTACTCATGTAACTAAATTGCATGGAGATTTTTCATGCAATCAAATTACTTAAAGTCAGCATTTTGAGCATAAATATTTCTGAGTGTAAGCAGCATGAAATGCTGTAATTGCAATATAGACATTTTTTTTAAACTGTGACTCAGCTGAGTTAGTGTCCCAGAATAAAAAAAAAAGTTTATTAAAGTTGGAAAAATTACAACTCCTACAACATAATTACGTTCCCCTCCCATAGGTGCATGAATGAAATCCATCTCCATTATTCAGTTAGGTTTAAGTTACAGCTTTTTCCTACCCTAGCTTTTTTGTTTTTTGAACATTTATCATCTTGCAGTTCCTGCATTCAGGTATTTCATCTTAACCAGCATATTTATCATTTCAGTTATTTTCAGCAGCAGGCAGTTTAAGGTAATAAAAATGTCATAGATTTTGGAACCACCCTTTTAGTTCCTGGCAATAACAGCTTGTCAAATCTGGAAATAAGGTGCTTTGGCTATCAAACCTGTGTTTCACTATGTGTTTGCCACACAGAGTTTAGCTTAACAGTGATTACTGAGTGAAAATTGAGCACTGGAAAAGGGAGGGTAGCTTGCTCACCTAGCTAGACCTCACTGATCAGTCAGAGTTTTCCTGACACTGATACACATTAATATAACATATATTATTCCTTTGATAAATTATTTTATCAATGAATTTAGTCATCTCAGATTTTAGGCAACTCACAGCAACAACACACTGAGTTAAGTCCTGTGTGTGGCCATTCTCTGTGGAGTCATGATAAAGTGCTTGGCACTAGGAAGGACTTGAGCTGCTCACCACATGCCGCACTGATGGATCGAGTAAGCAAACTGAGTAACCGGATTTGTCCACAGTCATCAGTAAAGTGTAGCAAAGCGATTCTCTGCTTAGACTCCTGTATCAAACGGTTCCCCTCTATAGTTTTGTTTGATTACATGCCTCACTTTGCCATTCCTTTCCTCAGCTAATACTCGCCGTACTTTTCACCAGGTTTGCTCATGTCAGCCATTACAGTCATCATCCTGGTCCTGTACTTTGCCATTGACAACTTTGTGATGCAGAAGCGCCCTTGGATGCCTGAGTGCACTCCTATCTACATCCAGTACTTTGTCAAGTTCTTCATCATTGGTGTAACTGTTTTGGTGGTGGCTGTCCCAGAGGGACTGCCGCTGGCTGTCACCATCTCCTTGGCTTATTCTGTTAAGGTAAGGTAACTTTTAAGCATTGTAAGACTCCATGGGCTCACATTTGTTATTAATAGATTTGTTATGCAGTTAGATATTGTTGTTTTTCTTTGTCTTTGCATATGCAAATGTGTGCACCTTTCACAGAGATGAGACTTGCATGGATACTTGAGGATTCAGGGCAATTAATTCTCCCAGCTGTGTTAATGTGCTTATTTTTATTCACAGCGGCAAATATGTAAATAATTCAATTAAGTCTGACTGTGCAAAGAATTTAATTTTTTTTGAATGACATGAATCAAATTAAAATGTTATATGTACCGACATGTTCGGTGGCCATTTTTGCCACTGAAAGTTAAGCAGTGCGAGGCTCGGGATAGGCACTTTATTGAAAAAAAAATACTTTAAAATGGAACATATTGTTTTCTACCAACAGAAAATGATGAAAGACAACAACCTGGTGCGTCACTTGGATGCATGTGAAACAATGGGCAACGCTACAGCCATCTGTTCTGACAAGACAGGCACGCTAACCACCAACCGCATGACAGCTGTGCAGTTATACGTTGGTGATGTACATTACAAAGAGATACCAGATCCTGGAGTCCTGCCACCCAAGTCATTGGATTTACTTGTCAATTCCATCTCAATTAACAGCGCCTATACCACAAAGATACTGGTAAGTCTTAGAGAACACAGTTAATGTATAAGTATAAAGTTAAGTGAATATTTGAATACCTTATCTGTCACTTTTATATACTAATTCATGCTTGATGCTGTCCGTGAACCAATATTTGGGCTATTGTACTGTACTACACTCAGAGAAGATAAGCCTATATTATCCTGGGTTAGCTTCTTAGATTTCAGCTTACTCTGTGTAAACAGTGACACCATATGATGGGAGCAGCCCTGAAACAGCGAGACAGCTCTGCAGTGCTTTCTTTTTGGCTAAGCAGGCAGGCAGTGTCCTTGGCTGCTGCTTTAGATTCATTAGGCATTCGCTCAACTTGTCACCTTGAGAACGGTTGTGTAATTTTGTCTTATCTGATATTCAGAGCATAGCAGACTGTAATTGAATCCAATCTGTCTAAGTGCTGGAGATGTTCTCCTGTCTATAGTGAATGCAGCAAGGAGACATTTTCTCTAAGCTAGTTAGACCTGCATTCAATAAGAAATACATAGATATATGAACAAACACACTCATGCTGTTTCATATTCTAATCACAGAAAATGTGACTAGTCTGCATGGAAATCTTGTCCAGGACACAGGTCTGAAACATTATTTGCATGATAAAGCGCTTGGTTAAACAATCTAAAAGCAATGATTGCCAAGATTAGCATGTCTTCAGCTTGTTGGAACAACATGCCTGAGTAATCCATTTCCTGGCATGTAGACTCACCTGCACACACACACACACACACGCACACACACCTAAACACACACACACACACACACACACTGTTTGTGCCTATCTATTTGTCACCATCCTTGTAAACTCCTGTAGAGTCTATTCATTGATGGTTGACCAACTGACAAATGCCCTTATGGAACTTGCATTAGCAGTGAGCTGAGCAATTAGGACATCTGTGAACGAAGAATCCAACAGATTTCATTTTTGGTGAAAGCACAGTACTGCTCTAGAGACATTGTAAGTGCAGGGACATGGATCCTGAATGGAAATCTATGAGAGAATTTTGCAACATTAAAGCTAGTGTTTGTCCTGCCCCTGCTACCCAAAGAACCGATCAAAAACTGAACCGGTAAACATATGTGGTAGTCGTGTTTTTGAGCACGTAAACACACAATGGAGTTTCATTATTAAATTAAAGATGAAGGTAGGTGTACTAATGGGAGTTATAGCATTTGTTCAAGTGATTAAGCACAGATGCTGCCTGGCTGTACTAAGGATTTACTCAATAATGAGCCTTTAATGCTGTGAAACTTTAGGTATAAACCTTAGAGGGGGGGAAAAATGTTTTTAAAAACTTATTTTAGAGTATAGTTTCTACATGTGCATTTTTCTGTCTCCTAGTGGGTTGATAATAAATGGTTATCTCTCTTACAATTTATTTAGATAGCTCTAAAAAACTGCGTAGATCTTTTGCAAAGATAGCTTTGAGTGCAAAACATGCTACCAGAATGATTTTAGTTGGTCACTGGACTTTTGAGTTGAAAGGTTACACACCTGTGTCTACTATCATTTCAACTTTTCATTTTTTTTATTTGTGAAAATTACTGATAGACAGTAGATTGAATTCAGTAATTTTTGCCATACAATTACCCTTCTTATCATAATGCCAAGTAGTACAGAGATCTGCTTGTGTCCCTTTAATACTAGTTTACAGTATTGAACTATATTGCCAAAAGTATTCACTCATCCATCCAAGTTGTTGAATTCAGGTGATACAATCACTTCCATGGTCACAGGTGTATAAAACCAATCACCTGGCCATGCAGACTGCTTCTACAAAGTGAAGGAATGGGTCGCTCTCAGTATATCAGTGAATTCCAGCATGTTACTGTGATGGGATGCCACAACAAATCCCAAAGGTGCTTTTGTTGCAACAAGTCTAGGCATTAAATTTCCTCGCTACTAAATAGTCAGCTGTATTATAACAAAGTGGCGGAGATTGGGAATGACAGTGACCCAACCATGAAGTGGTAGGCCATGTAAAATGGATCAGTGGACGGTCACCAACTTTCTGCAGAGTCAGTCACTACAAACCTTCAACCTCATGTAGCCTTCAGATTAGCTCAAGAACATTGCGTAGAGAGCTTTATGGAATGTGTTTCCATGGCGAGAAGCTGCATCCAAGCCTCACATTATCAAGCCCAATGCAAAGTGTCTGGTGGGATTGGTTCTCTGGAGTGACGAATCAAGTTTCTATGTCTGGTAATACTACAGATGTGTCTGGGTTTGGCAGTTGCCAGAAGAGCAGTACTTGTCTGACGGCATTGTTCCAAGTATAAAGTTTGGTGGAGAGGGGATTATGGTGTGGGGATGTTTTTCAGGAGATGGGGTCGGCCCCTTAGTTCCAGAGATCCTCTTAAAGTTTCAGCATACCAAGATATTTTGGAAAATTTCATCCTCCAACTTATTATTGGGAACAGTTTTAGGAAGGTCCCTTTCTGTTTCAACACACAACTGCACACCAGTGCACAAAGCAAGGTCCATAAAGACATAGAGGAGCAAGTTTGGCCAGCGCAAAGTCTTGACCTCAACCCCATAAAGCACCTTTGGGATTTGAGACTGCGAGCCAGGCCTTCTTATCCAATATCACTGTCTGACCTCACAAATGCTCTTCTGGAAGAATGATCAAAAATTCCCATAAATGCACTCTGAAACCTTGTGGAAATCCTTCCCAGAAGAGTTGAAGTTGTTATAGCAGGAAAGGGTGGGCCAACATTATATTAAACCCTACGGAGTAAGAATGAGATGTCACTCATGTGCAAATGGCAAATGAATATTTCTTTTTTGTCACAGCCACAGGCTGCATTTCAATCTGCACTCAGTATATAAATGGTCCTTTGATTTGCTCAGTAAGTATTACATTTCCACATTAACTCCACTTCTCAAATACCAAATAATGATACTGCATTTGACCAGGACCTAAACCTGTGTTGTAATTAAGACCACTTAAGCGTAATCTAAGCAGGCTTGAGACTGAGTTAGACTAAATCAAAATCAGCTCATTTCCACTTTTTAAGCACTTTAAAGTTTTTGACATTGTTAACTGTTTGTTTTGTGTGTGTGTGTGTGTGTGTGTTTTATAATCACTGTCAAATGTAATGCAGCTTTAGTTTTAGAAAAGCTTTCAATTACATAGGAACAGGACATTCTTGTGGTTCCAGTTTAATACTGTGTGTTCTGAACAGATTAAGGTTTGTTTTCTTTCAGCACAAACTGATGAGGTAAATTAGTCCAAACACGTCAATATTTGCTAGAATTGTGATTACCACTCTGAAAAAAAAACATGATTAATTAAAAGCCCTCACATGAGAGGATTGCATATTTTCTCATAGCTTTGCATATAACTGCAATTTAGGATGAGTATACTTGATACATTGTGGAAGATGCACTAGTGGTTCATGCAAATTACAGCACAGTAAATGGGGAAGAAAGGCTAAAGCAGGCAGACCAGACAAAAAAAACAAACAAACTTAAGAGTAGACTGAGACCTCAATCCTGTCACAGTAACTGAGGGGGGGGAGAGAGAGAGAGAGAGAAAGAGAGAGAGAGAGAACAGCAAGTCTTCAAATGAAATGAATATTTCTTGTCACACACAGTAGTAAACAATGAGAGTGAGGTTGACTTAGTTTCCTTTTCCCACAGCATATTTCTACTAAGATGTACCACAGTTACAAGATGTTATTCCTTAGAAAAATCTGGAGAAATGCTTTGCAGCATTAGATCAGGCTATTGTACTTCTATAGCTGCTTAGCTCAATGGAATTAAGCACTGGCAGAGCACAGCTTATACGCTGGGGATTAAGCAGTACATTTACTTCTTTCCAGATCTTTTCATTCGCAAGACGTGACCTCACGCATTGAATGACAAATCAAACCTAATGATACTAACTTACATACCTTTAAGTTCGTAACTTGCCAGCTTGTGTAAATACAGGATCGTCTGTCTGCCTGCAACTTACTGTAGCTAAGACTACATTTATACATCTATATCTTTATGTAGACTTAGATAAATGTACGGTATATAAATGTACAATTACATATATAACATATAAATAGTATAAAAATAACATATGTTGTGTTATTTGAGAATGAATAAAAGGAAAGATAAAGTATGGTGTAAAGTACAATGTAATTAAGGAATGAAGTGAATTCACAAAGCAAGATACAGCAGGAAGCTTTTCTGAGGAATATTTAGTCCATCCTTCTTTGCCTCCCCCAGCCGCCCCCACTCCCTCAGCACCACTCCAGGCCTGCAGTATGCTAGCTGGTGTGTTCTTATATAAGAGGCCAATCCTGTGGGAAGCCAGGATATCTATGGAAGTCTTTGATGGCCACCACACAAAGGCAAAGAGGCAGGCTTTGATACTCATATCAATCCCCCTATTGCCTCTCTGGCGTCATAATACAGCCACTGGTATAGCTCTGCTTCGTCTGTCAGCACATACAGACTGCTGTATAAAGTGGAAAAGCCTCTTACTCAAGGGAGGAAGTTCGTACGCACTTACACAATGAAACCCTGCACATGGACAGTCGCACATGCTCATTGATCTGGCTTGCATTCATGTTTTCAAAGTATTCATTAATGCATACTGTAAATACATCTTGGTTGCCTTGGATGTCTCTTGCGGGCAATGACATCAATACACAAACGTCATTTCCAAGAACATGCATTATCCCCAGTGGCAATACCTGCAAAGGACTGGAATTTTCTTTTTGTCCTTTACCTTTCGTTCTTTTAGTTTTTCATTAAGTGTTTGAAATATTAACATAGTCTGTAATGTACAGGAAGGCTGTGTGTAGACACTTGTGAAGGGGCATTCATATATATAACACACACATCTGTCATTTCAGGGATAGTGACATTGTAGGAGGTATTGAGATCACAGGTGTTTGTTCGCGCAGCACAGTGGTGTGTGTTTAGCATGGTTGTGTGAGTGTCCTGGGAGCTCAGTTTCATGTAGCTTTAACCACCTGCTCAGGTCATTATT